GCCCCCCCCCCCCCCCCCCCAGCACTTCCTATATGCTGCAGTACAGTTGACTGTAGTGGGCAGGAGGCTTTGGGAAGAAGGGAGAGAAGTTGATCAGCAGGGTACAGTGGGAAAGAGGTGCAGTGGACAGGAGGAGAGGAACTGGCAGCCAGTGGGTGCTAAGCACCCGCTAATATTTTTCTATGGGTGTTCCAACCCTGGAGCATCCAGAGGGTTGGCGCTTATGAATGTATTACAATCCCTTTGTTTTGACTGTGTGATAGGATATAGTATATTGCAGCATGGTTTAGAAATATGATGCTAATATGCACTATGCAATCATATCATATGGATTCTGCATGCCCAAGTTCCATCTCATGTAAGCCAGACAGTTCCTGGAAGTTACAGGGGCATGCAAGAGAGAAGGATGCATGAAACCTCTCTCCATTATCTGGTCTGGAGCACAGGTCTGTAGAACGGATTTGATGTGATCCCATATTGCTTGAAGTGCACTCCCTAACATTTAGGTGTGCACTAGTCACTTCAGAAGACAGCCCTGCCTCTTCTTACCCCATGCTGCTGAAGATATTGTGTTTCTCTGGTGTGTAATGCTCCCATGTACCTGCTGGAGCACTGCTCCATTATCAGGGCTCTCTGTCAGATGTCAGATTACATTTCATTCACATGACAAAAAAACCTACTTTTAGATAAAGTTAAGGAACTCCCACATTCACAATTCCCAGTTAACAGGGCACATTAAGGTGATCATGTTCCATAATGCCCATGAACAGGAAGCTTAAGCTTTTGATTGTCAGTTTTCTTCTTTTGTTTTTAAGAAATTAGCTGTAGAAAGCAGTTTATGTAAAATTTCCCTCAAAATATAAAAAATATGGCCTAAACTGTCCCTTCTGCTAGCAAAGGGAACCAGATCTCAGTAGCTATTTGTTCTCAACCCTTTTCCTTCAGCACTTCTCCACTGGTCTTCTGCAGAGTTGGTGCCGTGTCTTGTTTTGAGAACAGAACTGGAGGCTAACGGGAGTGGAACTAGGGACCACCCACTTTCTACTGCAACCTGCCGGTTGCCCTTGTGGATTTCTTCTAAAAAAATCTAGTCAGGATTTAATGGCACACAAAGTGGTGGTAACTCCCCTGACTCTGTCTGGGGCTGCAACTGTGAAGTCAAGGGAGAATCAGCCAGTGGTCACACAGTTCGTGCAGGACTGCTGGGAGGAAGTGTCAGAGTAGCCACATAGCAAGAAAGCCACCCTTCTATGCAACAGAGCATTTCTTTCTCCAAGACTTCTAGGACTGTGGATTTTGTAAGCTGCCTCTTCCATTGGTCCTTTGATCCATTCTCCAGGAGGAGAAAATTGAGGGGATATCGTACGAGCAAAGCCAACCTAGCAGAGGTTCCTGAGTTGCTTGTATTCCTCCATAAATAAGTAGATTTAGGTTAGATTAGATTAGGTTAGGTTAGGTTAGGTTAGGTTAGGTTAGGATAGATAGATAGATAGATAGATAGATAGATAGATAGATAGATAGATAGATAGATAGATAGATAGATAGATAGATAGATAGATAGATAGATAGATAGATAGATAGATAGATAGATAGATAGATAGATAGATGTGTCTTATTGTCCTCTCCTCCACTCTAGTAGAGTGCTTCCAACCAGGGGAGCATGTTGCTTCTGTTGCTGCAAGTCCTTTCACTGTAATACAGTATTTCAGCAGTGAGAAAAAGAAAACGCATCGTGGGAGAAGCAATACAGTCAATGCAACAGCAGGAGTTGTGGACAAGAATGGCCAAATGTAAAACCTGCAGGCACTTTTTTTTTCAGTCCCCGCTAACCAGGATAGGCAGGAGGACACAGATAGATATCAAAAGACAATGACAAGTGTGTGTGTGGAGTTTAATTGCTGGCGTGTATGTCTCTTCACTTTCTTTTTTGACCTGATCTTGCATTTGGTATGTTTCCCTATTGTGTGAGTAGCTGCAGAATGTCACGAATGAAGTTTAAACGTGGTGTAAAGGGCGCTGATTAAATGATTTGCCTGAGGACAGGAATAATAAGGCTACTGCTGTGTGTGTTCTTATTAGAAATAAAAAATCTTTTAGTTTGTTTTTTCCTGCATTTAAAATAAATAGTGGAGTCAATACACTGGTTTGATATTTGTAAGGATTTTATCAAATAAAAACCAATGTTGTTAATGTGTCTTGGAGTTTGCTGATAACCTACAGTTTTGCCTAGATGCCTACAGCCAAGCTTGTGGTTCAGAGTCAGCATTTGCTTTTCAACTTGGCTATGTCTACACTACCAGGTTATTTCGAAATACGTTACTTCAAAATAATAAGTCCCAAAATAACTATTTGAAAATAAGCTTATTCCTCTTCACAAGTAGGAGTTATTGTTTCGAAATAACAAGCCCTTTATTTCAAAATAACAGGCTTGGTAGTGTGGATGCTCACCTTGTTTTTTTGAAATAACTCCCCAGCGTAGACATGCCCCTCTAGTTTGTGTTCTGTCCAAAGACAGATTAGGTGAAAATAAGTTGTGAAATGTCTTGGGCAATCTTAGGTCATCCAGTCATTGGCACTTTTTATTTTAATACAATGTGTTTAAAATATTGTGATGCCCTATTTGTTGCTGAGACATACAGCAACTGAGATCTTCTCTGCCTCGTAGCATTGGCTTTGTTAGAGATGTTATTTGTGTTTGTCTCCATATGTGTTTGCCACTTGATACCAAGAAGTGTGAAATGTGGTTTCCCAGAAGATGAAGGGCATTTGCTGAGAACTGGAGTTGTCAGAAGTGACACATAGCTGGGTGGCTGGTTGTCACAAGACTTATTTTCAGAATTAAACAGGCCCTTGGCTCCAGCTCAGCTGTGCTTGGCACGGGACCTCAGTGAGACAAGGGAGCTTCATGATTCTCATGGCTGTCAGAGGCCAGTTCCAACACTGGCACAATTTAGAGCAGCCCCGGGACAGTTATTACTTGGTTCTGGCTGCCCAACTCCCGGAAGCTGTTTGAACAGCGCGAGATACTGAATCAAGAATGCAGCTATAGGCAGACTAGGCAGTTGCCCAGAATGACAGATTGTGATTGACAAGGCATGGGGCTGGCAAGAGTGGCTAGGGGAGGAGGTAGCCAGGATTCTGAGAAACAGCCCCCGCCCCCCCGCCCAGGCTGCTGTGGAAGCGCTCCCACTCCCCACCCCCAGCACAGCTAAGTTCATTGCCATGGCCATAACTCAGTGCTGGGTGACTCAGAGATACTCCTAGTGGCATTGCAAGGGCTTTGGTCACAAGTGCAGCAACCCACTCAACTCCACGTCGGCCCTGGCTGCCACTTCGGTTCTACTGTCTCCAGGATTGGGAGGTGCTACCACCAGGACCGCTGTGAGTCTGACAGCAAAGAGCACATCCAGAAAGGTCGGGGGACGGGGGAGGTGCAGGCTGGAGGTATGGAATGTATGGGGTGGGGTGGTGTCTGGACTGTGGGTGAGGGGTGTGGGCTGGAGGTGCAGACTGTGCTGGGGGGGGCGGGTGTTTATGGGCAGAGCTGAGGGTGTGGAGACTGGGTGAGTGATACAGGTTGGGATGGATTGGGGGTGTGAGTGGTGTGAGGCAGGATGTGCAGCCTGGAGTTGACTGGGAGTGTGGAGTACATGGGCTAGGACTACTGGTAGAAGGGCCAAGGTGCGAGGGAAGGACTGGCTGAAGCTCAGGGGCCAAGGTGAGGGCACTCCCATTCTGTCCAGTGGAGAGGACCCCACTGCTGCTTATGTGAGGGGGACCAGCAGTCCCAGCCCAGGTGGCTTCATGCAGGACAGAGTTTCTGTGCTTCCTATTAACCATCACCCCAGAGGCTGGGAGCTGCCCCCTGTCAGGGCCCAGGTATTGGACTTTTCCTATCCCATGGGGTCTGTCACAAGGGCCCAGCAACATCGGTAGCCCCACTCCATCCCCCAGCCTCTTCCCACACTCTTCCTTTCTCTGTCATTGTAGACAGCACTTTCATCCTGTATGTAAATGAGGCCCATATTCTGAGCATCATCTTCGACTTGGACCTCTCTCTAGATCCTCACCTCCAGTCTAGTTGTAAATCTTGTTGATTCTTTCTGCATAACGTTTTTTAAGATACGGCCTTTCTTATCCCTCCACTCAGTTAAAACACTTGGGCAACCTTTGATCATCTTGTGGTAAAATCCTTCTCTCTGGCCTGGACAAGTGCAGTTTTGCCCCATTCATGTCCATTCACAGCGCTGCTACAAATAAGTTGGTAGCCATCACTTTGACCTTGTCACCCCTGTCTTTGTATGCTTCCATTGTCTTCCCCTTCTCTAGCCCATCAAACATAAGCTGCCCTTTTATGGTTTATTCCCACCATGCTTATCATTTGTCACTTGCTCTGACTGGCTTAATGCCGGCCTCTGTTGTCTGCTTCTTAAATTCCAAACAAGTACCTTTGTGCTTTCTACCATGCTGCTCTCGCTTAAGTGAGGAGCTCCCCATAAACTTCCATGAAACTAATTCATTGTCCCTCTTCAAAATGCTCCCCAAACTTCTCTTTGATCCCTCCAAAAAACTTGACATTGGTGCCCTGATACCGCTGCCTATCATGCTAGCCAGTACTGTTGCATTGTTTCCTTGTCATTCTTTGTCTGGCTCTAGCCATCTGTGGTCTGTTTTCTTATATGTTGAGTGTAAGCTGTTTGGGGGCAGTGACCATTTATGACCGGGGCTCTTAGACACTTTGATAAACAATAACCATCACCACCGAAATTGTGTTCA